CCTCGGAAAGAAACTCCCCGTCGTGCTTTGACTCTGCTGTTGTGAAAGCAATAAATCTTAGCTTCACTCGTAAACAAACCTTTCTGCACACAGCTTAGTCAAATCACTGTTGTTGCCACCTTCTTTAGAAGCAATAGCTCGATATTTGATCAACACCGTTAACAATGTACCACATGTCAAGATTTTTTAAGTGAAAAGCAAATTAGCTCATTGATATTGTAATTGTTGAGACTTTTATCGGGTATTTTTTAAGGAGAGGGGAGAAGTAGGGCATTTAACTTAGCGCTTATAACAGCGTCTATGGTTTCTCTTGGATTAACCGATCACTTCAAAGTTTGGGCGCTTGACCTAGGAATAACTGTAAAGAAGAAGGGAGAAAGAAAATAAAAAAAGCGGGGACGTTGGACCAATAGCAAAATACATCACGTACACATTATGCTAATCTCAGAATACCACACAATGTACAGCTCCAACTCTAGAGCGACTGTGCATGAATTTCTCGAGCAAATCTTGTCACCGAGGACACGCATTCGGATCATTCGACAACGTTTAGACGCGCTCTTTAGTGGCACTTCAAAAAGAATGAAAAAAGAAGCAGAATTTGTTTTTTCATACCGTTTTTTTTTAAATTCTGTTTCTTTATCTGAAACTGCAAAAAGGCGGTAAACAACATGTTTACCGTGGAATACGCAAAAATTCGTGTTCCTAATTTTGAATAATAAAATGTGATAGTTTAAAGTGTGTCACACATTGTCTTTGGTCTGCTACACATCGGAGATACAAGTATTATGTATCGGTTACGTCCTTAAAAAGAGTTAAACTGAAAACAAACACGTTTGTTTTTGAGGTGATCGAGAAGGGCGATCGCCCCGATCGACCGATCCCATCCGTAGTGGGCACCCCGTATTAACCTCAATCCCAAACCGATCGCATGCGGGTTTTTGGTTCGGGATCGTACTCTTCATTCATTTCTTTTTTAAAGCTGTGCTGGGGCAGGTAGAGAAAAGAACATGTCATGTGGGCTGGAGCTACATATGGTGTGTGCTGAGGCATGCTTATGAAAAGCATGTAAAAATGTTGAAAGTGTAAGAAGGGAGCAGGGATGCAGAATAGTGCAGATGAAAGAGAGAGAGAGAGAGAGAGAGAGAG